TTTTTTTTATTATTTTATTAATCCCGAGTCATGGCTAACATATTTGACTCGTTATCTTGATCATCTTTGTTGATTGTCGCATATATGCCTTACAGAAGTTTTGATCAAACATGACTTTTTTTAGAAGCATTTGCAACCTACTTGCGGTACAGCCGCACTTTGGGATTTGAAGACACTCCTGATTACGGACATCTTCGACAGCTTTTTCGAAACCTCTTCCATCGACAGGGTCTCCGCTACGACTACCTCTTTGATTGGAATCTGCTGAAGTTTGTCGTAAGAATCTGTGACCAGAGTTTGCAGAACGAAAAACGATGTCATAAACAGCCTACATTTTCCACCATAGAAACATCGTTTCTTGTTCATATATATTGTAAAACTCGTGTTGTTGCAATTTTGTCATCATCATGTTCTCAGTTAAAACCAAGTCAGTTCAGAACGGCGAAGCGCCTTCAACAATCGGCAGCACCTCCTATGGGAAGGACGGAATGAAGAGGTCTTACCCAGTACTGCGATCGTATGTATTCAGTCTTCTTGTTGTTTGAGAACTAACCTTCATGCACCTTAGAAATTTGACATAGGTTTCATATCATCGTTTTTTTCTGTGAGTCATCATGCTCACGTAATTTTACTACCGATTTTTGACATAGGTTTCATATCATCGTTTTTTTTGTGAGTCATCATCCTCACGTAATTTTACTGCCGATTTTCCTGTTTCTCATGTATAGTGAGTTCATTGCAGGGCACAAACATCAATGCAGAATCGCGCAGCTAATACGGCTCTTGATGGAGCTCCAGTGAAGTGATAGGTGGTGTTGTCCTCAAATTTTGTCTTTGTCCTCTGAATTCATAGGTATACCATACCACATTCTTCTCTGTCATAGGCATTATAGTGAAACATGTGCTATTTGAGTATGTATTTTGTGTTTTTCCTTCATTAGAACAAATGGATAGACATTATGTCTGCGTTGTTCATCAGTTTTGTCCAACGAAGATTGGACCGGACTTACTCTGGTAATCCTTCTTCTACACTTATTCTCCCAATACATTGCCAGACACAGTGCGGCCGGCAGGTTCTAAACTGAAGATGATGTAATCATTTATTTGGTTCTTGTTGAGAGCTTTCTTCATCGTCAGCTTCTTTCTGTGCTACTACTACAATTGCTCCGTTTTTGCTTTTCCTTGATGACTATGCGGGTGACCAATAATCATACTTCTGTGTTCGCCGTTTAGCCACCGTCTCTCACTTTTTTTTCTCTATATAATAATCTGTGACATCTCTGTATTTTTGATTGTATGACAAATTCCAATACATACTATCATCTATACATCCAACATCAGCACACTTGGTGTCATTTTTAGGAATCCAATTGTGAAGTGTTAATCCTGTACCATGTGAATTATCTATCAAGATGAAGTGTTTTTCTTGTATCCACGTGTGACAGATATATTGATCATTGAAAAAAGGAGAACCTAAAACTGATCTTTTTCCGTCCGTGTTCACTTAGCTTTTTGTCGTTGGTGCGAAAATTCAATTCGTTGGAATTCACTCAAAGAGAATTGAACGAAAACTTCCTAAGGATTTTTCTAATATGTGTAAAAATTGCCAGAATTATAATGCCTTCGACGGTGATTTATCGCTCTCGAAGGCCAAAATTGTTTTGACCGTTCTCTTATGCTGTCAATTTTATGGTGTAAGGTGCCATGGCTGAAACCCTTATCGCTTTTTGGCTTTCTTATTTATTTTTATTTATGGAATCCTTTTTTCCAGGTTACCTTAGTTGATTCAATGGGTAGTATTAACAATATCTAGTGTTTTATGATTCTCACTATGTAGTTTGGCGAAGCTTTGCCAAAAAGTAGAGGTATTAGAAAGACTTTTTTAGCAGATTTAAAACATTTGAGGTGCAACAGAATCTTTATTTGCACTTTAATTTATGTGGAAGATCTAAATGTGAGCAAATGTGGAAGCTGTTAATAAGCACCAAAGCTAATTTACGAGGAACTACGTATTCCCGTGATCGTGTTTTCTAGAATTCAATCACTTGACTAGCATAAGATGTGATTGAGTTTCATATTGGAATATCTCTTTGAGCTCTTCTGAGGTTGAGTTAGGCTTAGTTCGACAACATAGGATTCGTCAATGAAGAACATAAAAGTTACGGATAACATTTGATACTGGCTACTATCTCAACTGCTGTTTTCTTCCTGGATCGGCTTTTGTTCGCAAGCTGAATCGATTGCGGAACCAACTGATTGGCGATGAACTCTTTCGCATCACGCCAGATCTGACCCTATATAGAGCTTTATGTCTTCGGTACACCTCACTCCATTCTAGCCACCATTTAACCTAGTGCCAAGCTTGTAATTTGGCTCATAAACTATACTTACAGCTGTCAAGCGTTTTGGAGTGGCAACAAAATTCGAATTTCGCGCCTAAAGCAGTGCTGCGCCTCCAGCGCTTCGGGTGGCAAAAATGGGAGTATAGAACCTTGGTTGATACAGATCTTGATAGATACAGTGATGTAATTAGAAAGGAGGCGAAGCTCCGAATTGCACGTCCACCCTCTTCCAAAAAAAAAAACAACAAAAACTACGTTCCAATTTGTACTCGTTTGCATGAGCCCTTCTGCCAGCGCGCTGTGTCTAATTAACTAATCGCTAAATCGCGTGGCGACTGGAATAGCGTGAATGATGGTCTAGATTAGGCACTAGCTCGCAATTCGAATTTTTGAATTATACAACGCCATACCTGCTTTCGAGCGCTGTT